TAAAAGGAATGTTGACTGGATATTCAAGCAAATAAAAGGAATGTTGACTGGATATTCAAGCAAATAAAAGGAATATTAACTGGATATTCAAGCAAATAAAAGGAATATTAACGAAAATATTCAAGCAAATAAAAGGAATATTAACTGGATATTCAAGCAAATAAAAGCAATATTGACTGGATATTCAAGCAAATAAAAGGAATATTGACTGGAGAACTTATCAAGATAAAATATTTAGTCTGCCTATCTCAGCAATACAGTTACATCTTTAACATTATTCCTCAAAGTCGTGGATTAAAAAAAAGGCAGTTCTTATGATAAACGCGTCTTTTAATAGATGGACTGCGTAGTTTAGTCCAGATGTAAAAAAGAACAGGTTGAACATAGACGTCAAATGCCATACCCGAGGTTCTGTTATCTGTGTAAGGCAGTTGGTTCCCACTTTTAACTTCTTTTTTTTATCACGTCACTCATTTTTTCATTGTATACACGTATAAGTATGCAAACACACAAGCCTATATATATATGTATCCACACGTCCCCACGCACACTTGTTTCTTTTATCTTCTCATCTCCAATTGTGACCACCACCACGTGCCCTTTCACGTTACATGTTTGAAATTTGGTGTATCTGGGTTGACACTTGTATTATTTTGAACAAAGGAACAATAAGGTTAACGACATTGTATAACATAAACGTATTTAACTTTAGCATTAGCACATATCCTATTCATGTTATAAGAAACTGCATAACAGCACCAGACCTATACAAACAAAACGTGTACACAGATGAACGCTGATCTTTGGAAGCTTTTAAGGCTACTAGCAGAAGAACGTTGAGAAGAATATAAACTAACTAAAAGAAGACAAGGATAAGGATAAAGACTACTAATAGAAGACAAGAATAAGGAGAGAGACTACTAACAGAGGACAAGGATAAGGATAAAGACTACTAACAGAAGACAAGGATAAGTATAAAGACTAACTAACAGAAGGCAATGATAAGGAGAGAGACTACTAACAGAAGACAAGGATAAGGATAAAGACTAACTAACAGAAGACAAGGATAAGGATAAAGACTACTAACAGAAGACAAGAATAAGGAGAGAGACTACTAACAGAAGACAAGAATAAGGAGAGAGACTACTAACAGAAGACAAGGATAAGGATAAAGACTAACTAACAGAAGACAAGGATAAGGATAAAGACTACTAACAGAAGACAAGAATAAGGAGACTACTAACTGGAGACAAGGATAAGGATAAAGACTACTAACAGAAGACAAGGATAAGGAAAGAGACTACGAACAGAAGACAAGGATAAGGAGAGAGACTACTAACAGAAGACAAGAATAAGGAGAGAAACAACAAACATAAAAACTGAAAAGGGTGTAGGTTACCAACAGAGGACACCAAATGAGTGTAGGTTACCAACAGAGGACACCAAATGAGTGTAGGTTACCAACAGAGGACACCAAATGAGTGTAGGTTACCAGGAAAGATGGTAGTAATAGTGCACAAAAAACCAGTTCAGCTATGTAGAATCTATTACAAGTTTTATTCACAGGTATTAGCAGACTCGTATCAAGTAAATACCGGTAGTATCGTTTACCGTGAATATGCTTAACCGGAGATGTAAGGGATTGTGGTTATTGAGTAGGTTTTAGTTTTGTTATGTATTGTTTTATGACGCTGTCTGGTTGATTTATAAAACCGGTTAATGGAGTTAGCTAACTTTTGATCAGAAATAAAGTATGGAACATTTTCGTATAAGTTTGTTGAACGTCAAAATAACAGCTACATATGTTCTAAAGGTACTTCTACTGTAGCATGTGATCATTGTGTATTAAACTACTATCGTATAACAAGGTACTTCTACTGTAGCATGTGATCAATGTGGGATTACATCGCACAGCACGTGTGCAGCACGTGGTTGTTATTGTTCTGAATCCACGTACCAATATAATATGCTAAAGAGAAAAGAGCTTTCGGTGTTTCCGTGTGCTCAAGGAGTTTGCCGCCATATTTAGAGTAATGGCTACCAACTAAATCCCAATCTATACGTTCTCGTGCTTTCTCTTTCGGCGGTAACGAGTCATCAGCCTGATACGTTACTGTTTTACGTTAACAGAAACCCATTTT